AGATGACTACCGCACAGGTTGTCGAAACGCCAGTCACTGTTAACAACAACAGTCCTATTCAGGATTGCGTTCTCCCGGACGATCAAACTCACCCTAGGCCTACTTTTAAAATGACTCCTGGGTTAAAACCTTTCACAGTATAACTAGTAGAGTAACATGCTGCGAGTTCATTTTCTGCAGTATATCATTCATTACTTTTGAAAAGAGCAGTTTCTGTATTGCGCTGTTTTCTGTACGTAGACTGAAAATAGCCGATAGACAACGATAAATTGATGGTCTTGGTGATAACAGGGAGAAGTGAGTCAATGCAGTTGACGACTAACGGTGTTGGCATCGGATCAAGTTTGATCAACTTGTGCATATCATTTTCAGGCAGCTGTGAAAACTGTCGGTTATGCTGCATGGGCGTTGCCTGTATCGGTTGACTTTGCTGTAGACTTTGACTTAATCCAGTAGATTTAGGAATCTGACTGCATGGACCAGGTTGAATCTGAATATCCATGGGGATTGTGATGTCTTGATGGGAGAACGAAAGAAATAAACAGATCTCGTCATGTTTTTGCCAGACACAGATCGGGCGAGTTGAAACGGGCAAGCAATGTAACTTTCCTCTGTTGACTATTACCAGCGTTCCACGCATTCAGACGGGCTGGATATCACCGGGCGTTTTCCTGGTAAAAGGAAACGAACTTTCATGCTGGAAAACGTTCATGTGGACGCTTTGGGAAACCTTGAAACCACAGTGCATCCCCCAGACGATGTATTGGCTTTGGTGGACAAGTTTATAGGCGAGCTTTATCAGCCTCGAACCGGCCATTTCAATGGCGCAATATTTGGATCCGCTCTGGACCAGTTTCGAGCAAAAACCGCAATGGTTTGCGTTTGTAGCACATTTGCGTTTGCAACCGAAACAACCATAGAGGAGCTGAAAAACTGCTCTAAAACGAAAACACTGCGAAAAGCAGTGGTTTTTGGCTCTCTGTTTGGAAGAATTGGTGAGTAGAGAAAAAAAATTACTGATGAAATAAAAAATTATGAGCCGGCTGAGCTTAACAATTTGCTCGAGCATTTCTACCCCGAAGTAAACAATAAAAAAGGTGAAGATTATGAACCAGAAAGCCTTAAAGTAATGATGGCATTTCTATGATACACACTTAAAGAAAAAATGGCTGTACCCTGTCCATTGTACGTGACCGATTAAAAGTCGTGTGTTTAAATTAAGAGGGAATCAAAGGTTTGTTTATAAATCCAAGATGGCGACCAAAATAAAGGCTGCAAATTTAAAATTCGATTTACAAAGTGAAAGCTGCCGTTCTATCCTTGCTATAATGCATTTTGTGATGCTTTTTACTCGAAGATTTAGATATACAAGTTTTGTTTGTTCCCCTTAAGTGAGCCACACAACCCCCCTAGCTGATGGACTATTAGCATCTACAGTTGACTCCTGATACCTTGAACCTTCAAGGGAAATCGAAAAAGGTTCGAGTTATCGGGAGCTCGAAAAAAATAGCCCGGACTAAGAAAAAAACAGTTTTTGCTGTACAGTGAAAATTTAAATCACAATTAATTGTAGAAATGTCAAGTGAAAATTGAAAGATACCTCTAGATTATAAATTAGAACGTAACATAACAAAACCTTGCTTAAATAGAGCATGCGTTATACTGTTTTGAGAAGTAAAGCTGTTTCACGATAGATTCGTGACAAACATCATCAGCCTCCAATAGCAAATTATATGCCTACAACACGTCAATGAGAAATTCAAAATTCAATGTTTGGGACGCCAGTAGACTGTTTTTTCCGAATTTTAAGGGCTCAAAACATGGTTCGAGTTATTGAGGGTAAAATTATATAGAAATGATCTGAGGGGAAACAAAAACTACTTCGAGTTAGTGGAAGGTTCGAGTGACCGGGGTAAAACTACAGTAAATGTATGACGGAAATCCAGGAGAAATCGATTCTGGTTTGAGTTAGCGCGAGGTTCGAGTTATCGGGAGTCTCCTGTATTGTGATTTAACTCCATACTCATCCTACTCTCCCGCTATCTTGTTTTTTGTGAAGAATCAGTTTATCATTACGGACAATCCGTTAGATCACAAGAATTTACGGGCGGCCATCCTGGTTACAAATGTACGCGATCCTTAAACCTCAGGATGCCTCGAAGCTTCTTATGGGCCTGGGAAAATTGTAACTAAATTTGAAACTGATTGCCGCACGTAACAGTAGCTTCAGGTTCCGTAATGAAAACTATGTGGTCTTTTCACTCAAACAAGCATATTCTCGACCAGCTACCGATTGTGGCTTAATGGAAGGAAAGCTTTCTACAGGCGATACCATTCGTTTGATTTAATGACTTCACCAATCGTAAGAATTCAAGTTTCTATTCTAAGAAATGCCACCTTTAATGTAAATCAAAGAAGCTCTCTAAGGATCTTCCGCCAACCATATGATAACTTTTCATTATAGAGACGTTCTAGACCAGTAGTCAAGTTTATCCTTTCTGATTGCAGCGTAACTGCACATTCAACAAACCAAAATTAGTATTACTGATCATTTTCACACGTTTTAAGCTGCGAAAGTTGATTTGAATCTTGCAAACATAGATGCTGAGGACTTAATCACAACTTTAAAAGCTTTGAAAGTAAGGAAAGTTGTTCAATTTTTACGACAATAATTGTGATGATGATGAAAATGATCATGATGACGATGATAATGAGAATGGAAACAATCAGTGACGATATTAACAAAAACAGGATAAAATAAAAGTGGTAATATGATAATGTAGATGGAGTTGGACAAAGGCAAGGACAAATAATTATCCTTCATTGAACTAGTAGTGTTTTATCAATAATGTTACAAATACATAATCTTTCAATGGCATCTAACAAAATGGCATGTGGCCTCTTCCTGTCTTCAAAATTTCCACCATCCCCCCTTTTTCCCTTCAAAAAATTCAACCTCCCAAAAAAAAAACATCCCCTCCCCGTCCCCCTCCCTGTGGTATAATATATAGATTTAGCCAGGGCTAAAAGTGAAGCTCCCGTTAATAAATTCATAATTTAAATCAAACAATAAACTTTTAATCCACAGATCAGGGCACATTCATTTGACTTTTGAGGCAAAGGCTGAGTGATTTTAGAGAAAAATCAGAATTTGATCGTCCAAGAGTGAAACAAATTTTACATCAAGTTATTTGTACACCGAAAAATAGCAATCATGTTCGATCACAGTAGATTAGGCCTGGAAAACAAATAGACCTATTCATGTATTGTATTTGCATTAGCTGTAGCATCATAATGTGGCATTCACCAGTCTCTCCAACATTGCTCCGTTAGAGAGACTATGGATAATTGGATAACCCCGAAATATAATTTTAAGAAACACATGCGCCACGATAGTCCTTGGTGGCAGCCAATTGACACGTTGCATTCCTCTGTCTAAAAGAGAGGCCAAAATAAAAATGAGGCCGGATTAGTAAATCTTGGCGACGAATCTGGTGGCGGGTAAACCAGCCTTTTAAGAGGCGTTGCCTGTAAGGATCGAGCAAAGTTGGAAATTGGCCCATTTGAAACTTTGTCAGAATAAAGTCTATCATATGCCTGATTCATTGGCATAATTTGTTTTGTCTTAAACTGAATATTTTCCTTTGGAGACGTGTTTACTTTTAGGAGTCATTTTTTGCTTAAAAAGTGGAAAAAAATTAAAATTTGAAAAATCCGTAAAAAATTTCCAAAACCTTTGTAGCCAATGAAACTTAATTCAGTTGTTAGAAGTGATCTATCAATTTCATCTATGTATATATTGTTCAGATCAATAATGTTTTTCCCAACAAAATCATGTTGAAAGACGACTCTCTTTTTCTCAATACTCGTACAGTCATGGGCTATGCTGCATATCCCGAGGTATATCTCGAGTAGTAGACTGAGATTGAGCAATTTTTTTATACCTTTTGGAAGGCGTTATGCTGGTGAAGTTTTTGATATAAAAAGTTCCGCGGGCAGTCTCTGTGTGTTTCCAGGAGAGCGCCTCAAAAGTGCCCAAAATTCAACTAGTTTTGAGACGCTCTCTGAACGTCTGTCGCGAGGGTTGGTGTGACGAAAATACAAAAGCTGGTAATAAACTATGCAATTTGACAAAAACTGCTTTGTTTATTTGTTTTTATTTCCTAACCAATATGTACATTGTTTTTATTGCCCTGCTAGTGCGTCAAGTCTGATAGATTTACCCGCTGCGTTCCTTGCTACGCTGGTGCAGCTTAAAACCTTCGCATCTTGTCAAACACACGAGCAACTTTTCTTTAATCCAATAAAAACTTTCATGAATTTTTCGATCATTGATGGTGAATGGCCTGTAGTTGTATGAAGGTCTAATCGACCGCTTTAAATTGTATGTCAAGAGTGTAGCTTTAACATTTGCCTCGTTATAGTCGTCTTGGAAAATTCACTGTGACATCCTGTATGGGAAAAGATGTTTGCATGTCACGTGAGAGTATTTACATTGAAGAAATTTCACTTGGCACATCATTTCATTTCTGTATGTTAGCTTCATCTTAATCTAGAGGGAAATCTTTGAATTCGGACTCCAGTCTTTTCGACAGATTTTTAAGGTTGCCTCACTTTGCATGCGTGGGAAAGTACCAGCAAAGTTTAGCGCTGTAATTCAATAAGCATTTGTCACGCTTGATTAGTTACAGGTGCATCAAACAATCTAGATTCTACTTGTTCGTAACTTCCCCGGGAAACGCTTTACCGGATACTATTTCATAATATCATGTTCTTTCGAAACCCTTGTTTTCCTGGAAGACAGATTAAAATTCAAGCCATTATATTTATTGACGCGAAAAACTCTCCTGTCCGCCTGCCAATCATCTGCGAAGACTTATCTGCTAAAAGATCGCCAGACGTAGCTGGAAAGTTTGAGGCGGCGCTTACAAACATTCCCACTATCACGCTAACTTAAAACAAGTGAATCGCAGAGATCTCTGTTCGTAAAAGTGCAAAAAATGTATAAATGCGGGATTGGAAAGCTATCTGGTACAGAGTGCGGTTCAGTTACTGTGAAGGATACAGTAATTAACGAATATCAAGCGTTAAGTGATTGTCAGCGCGATATTACGGGTCACTTGGAAATGTTGAAAATGCGTGGAGAGGACGTGTTGTCTGAGAAAGAGTTGATTTTACTGAGAGCAGGTGAGAACATTTTGATATCCCTTACATCTGTCATTGAAGGGGTGTTCATGGTCGACTTAAATTTGTATTAGGAGTATTTTCGGGAACCGCTGAAGTAGACTTCATGGTGTGTCCGAAACATCGAGATACCTTTGGTATAAAATGGAGAGGGCGTAAGAAGATTTGCCAGGTACCGGAGGGGGTCGCATCTCACCGCTCAAAAAATCACACGGGTGATCGCACTATCAGTAGGAAGCTGTCAGAGGAAATCTTCAACAGGACTGGATCACTTATACCCATCGGCTCAGGTATTCAACTGTATTATTTTTCTTTATTAGAAATGTTGCACTAACTACCGTATTCACTAACAAAGCCATTCTCGAATGTTATCTTTCTTTAAGCAATCTGTCGGCAGTGTCGTGAAAAGCTGAACACAAGCATCACAACACATCAAAAGAATTCACAAGAGGTGAGGGAAAATAGTGAACGTAATGACTATAGTTGTTTCCTTATGGCTGTTAAGCCGACTGATCCTTCTTTTTTCGTTTTTTGTCCTCTCCTCAACACCTATAGAGCCGCAGGCAACTATTGTGTTGGGTAGCCTGTGGCGATAAGCTAGTAATGGGGCAGACTCGTACCCAGTCGTTGCGTTAGGCGTGGACAAATCAAGGGACAGGGCAGAAAAAAACGAGAGAGGGCATTGCCCTGGCCAATTTTGTGAAAGAATAGTTATAATGATAGTGATTATGATGATGGTACTAATGATGATAACAATATAAACAATAGTAAAAATTATTTATAAAGACATTACACGTTTCAAGAGAGAAAGAAATAAGAGGTAATAGCTTTACTCTTAAAGAAGGGCCTGCAAAACGACATCCAAACTTTGTAAAGAATGCCGAATGAAGACAGTTGTCGTATAACCCACGGAAGAGGTTGTTATGCCATTGTCTGCTAGCACTTGTGTGAGTTTACATTATGTTTTCATTTTTAACGTAGGCCACTGAGGGCGTTTCTAGAGCCAGTAAGGTAAGCTTCCCAGGATTTAATCAAGAAGAGGGAATAGAAAAGATTTCACGAGATCTTGAGCGTTTGGCCTTTAGCCCTGACAGCAGTCTATTCCAGCCTTCCTCGTCCCGGGAGGAGACGCAGTCCACAACATCAACACTTGATGACAGCATCAGCCAAGCCACGTGTGCGCAATACCTTAAACCTCCAGATAACACTGACGAAGGTAAGGTAGCCGCATTGCAATGGTTTGTGGATGAGTGCAGTATTGGGCCTCTTGGGTCTATTATGAAGCGTCCATGGACTGATGCCACCTCGAAAACACGTGAATGCTACATCCGTAAAGCTAGTACAATTATCTCAGAGGTCTTAAAAACTGTAGCGCCGCAGTCCGCTCCAGAATTGTGGGAGGCAGTGAGAGGAAAGAACGAAGTTAGCCACCTCCTTGGGTCTGTGCATAATGGCAGTGATCTACTATTAGCTGTAGTGGAGTCTTACAAGCAAGCGGACACATCCGAGACAAGGCGTCAACTATTAAGTCTCGTGGCCAGTAAAGTGACCTATGCAGAACTGGTAGCACACATACCTCGACTAACAAGATATGAGTTCACGGCGGCAAGACGATACACGCTTGAGGTAGGCGCACGACTTACTGTACAGTCGGAGGCCAAACAGATAAGAGAAAAAGCGGACCCTGCCGAAATAGATCACTTTCTGGACTTTATCACGTCTTCTACAATCGTCCAGGACCTCCCATTTGGTCGAAAAACCCTGACATTAAGCAGCGGCACAAAGATCGACATTCCCAATGTAATAAGGACAGTGTTGCCATCTCGTCTGATCAAGCAATATAATCAATATTGCAGTGAAGTGAATTACGCTCCACTCTCGAGCCGTACGCTGTTTAGAATTTTGTCTGAGGCATGTGTGGCGTCAGTTCGAAAGAGTTTACAGGGGCTAGACAGCTATGCAGCAGAAGGCGGGCGCGGATTTGATGATTTATTATCGCTCCTTGACACCCTGGTGAAATATGGGGCTAATGAGGCTGTAATTGCAGAACTCAAGGACAACTTTAGATACCTAAAACAGTACATCAAAAGTGATTACAAGGTAAATGATTAGTGCCTATATAGAGTCTGCACATGCATTTTCATCGTGCGAAGGTGTAACAGCATGATTGTCTCATTCACAGATCCACTGCTCCTTGGCTAGTACTATTCCTGACCACTGCAGAGTATTTGCACTCAGTGATGCTAAAAGGGAGAGCTATCGCCACCACTGTGATCACCAACATAATCAACGTTGTGAGAGCTGCGAGACCTTGAAGACTGTATGTAGCCAATAATAAGTAAACCCGGCCTAGGGCAAGATAATTCTATCTAATTATATCTTATATCTCTTTTAGTCTTTAGACTCAGTTTTGTCCTTTATCCAGTCAACCAACCTCCCGCAGGACCTTCAGGATGACCTCCTATTTAATGCAAGAACCGCAAGTGACGGAGTACGTTCCTGGAAGGCTCACCAGCTGCGCATGGTTCACCAGGATACAGCCAGAACAGATATCATTGATAGTCTTCAGGAGGACTCGGTGCTGATCACACAGGATTTCGCCATGAAGTTCTTACCCACCCAGTACAGGGAAACGCAGGCTGATTTCTTTGGTAAGAGAGGTATCTCTTGGCACTTGACAGTTTGTCAGAGCAAACAGCGAGGGGAGCTGGTCGCGCAGACGTTTGTGCACATAATTGAGTCGGGTCTACAGGACAGCCACACAGTAGTAACCGTGATGGAGCATGTACTGGAAACCTTGAAGCAGGAACACTCCCAGTTAACCAGAGCTGTCTACCGCCAAGACAACGCAGGCTGCTATCACTGGGCAAATACCATTTTAGCCAGCAAAATACTGCGAGAGAGAACCAACATCAATCTCTACCGGATTGATTTCAGTGATCCACAAGGTGGTAAAGGTCCATGCGATAGGAAAGCAGCGCAAATCAAGACGCACGTGAAGCAATACATCAACCAAGGTCACTCCGTCACAACACCTGCTGACCTTAAGAAGGCTATAGAGTCCGATGAGGGCATTGCGGGTGTGCGAGTTACGTTTGTTCCTGTTCCCAAGACCACAGTGAAAACAAAGAGAATCAAGTGGGAAGGCATCAGTAGTTTGTCCAACTTCGAGATGACGGCAGCGGGTGTAAAGGCCTTCAAGGCGTACGGTATTAGTGCAGGGAATTTCCGATCCTGGACGTCATTTTCAGGTATGTTCAACCAAAAGGTGGTAAAGGAAAATTACTCGCGTTCGTGTTAAAATGGATCTCAGTCCGCTATATTATACTGGTTTCATAGCACGCACACTTTACCCATTTGTTCTCAAAGGGGATGCATGGTAATACGTAACAATAAAGCTATAACCCCATGCCACTATATCATAACTTATACCCTTATTAATAAAAACTTGCTTATTTTGGTCTTTTCTCTCAGGAATACCACACGATAACCAGTTTGAATGGATAGCTGAAAGGCCAGGGAAAGGAGAGTTTGTGTCAGTGAAACCTAGACAGCCAAAGCCGGCGACATCCCATACAGATAGCCTACTCAAGGAGGGCTCTACCCCTGAAATAACCAAACAAGCAAATACCCACCTAGCTGATAGTCTCCTGTTTCCATGCCCAGAGGACGGATGCACCAAGTCCTACATGACATACGGACGGCTTGGGCAGCACCTCATGTACGGTAAACACCAATTCCGTCGGACCGAGAGTGTCTCACTTATTGATCGAGCGAAGGTCAGTTACGCAGAGCGTCTTGAGGCTGGAGTGAGCCATCCTGAAGTGACGATACCGGGTACAAAAATACACAGTGGTTCCCCTTGTCTGCCAGAGGGATGGGCTTGTCGGGAGTCCGCCGTGCCACGCCATCGGTTTAATTCCAAGCAAAGGAGGTACTTGGAGGAAAAGTTTAAACATGGCGAGACCAAGGGGATTAAAGCAAACCCAGATGACGTCTCGAAGGAGATGAGATGTTTGAGAGATCAGAGCGGGAAGCGAATCTTCACGGTAAAGGAGTTCCTACGTCCACAACAAATCACCTCATTCTTCTCTAGGATGGCATGTAAGAGAAGAGATGCCACCGACTCCGATGATGAGGCTGCAGAATTTGCGAGGCAGCAGGCGGCCGTCCACTCGGATGTGATGGAAGTGTTGCGGCAGGAAATCACTCATCCCTTGCTTTTCTCTGGCAAAAACCTGTGCTTGATGACAGAGTCAGAGATCGAAAGCCTCAAGATCACTCAGATGCGTTCCATAGTTAGTCACTTTTCCATTAAAGTTAAAGCTCGAAAGAAGAATGTCTATTCTGTTGCTATTATTGAATTTTTGAAAAGGTGCTCCTGTAAGCAGTAATTCTGGTAACTATAATTACTGCAAAAGCCGTGGACAAAGATCCCGCTGGTTGTTAACGTTGGATCTCTAGAAAACAGATCTAATCAGCTAAAATATTACTGAAAACAAAAAAAAAGAGAAGTCCAAAGACTACTGCAAGACTGATTAACAACGTGTACTGTTTTTATACAACAATATTTCGGCGGGCCATACCAGCCTTGTTCAGTAGGTTTACAGATGTTACTGAATTTATGATGGATATTACAATATTATATAGAGATGGAGGATGTCGCAAAAAAATTGTTTAAAAGGGGGAGGCGGAAATGACCTACAACATAAAAAAGAAAAGAACAACTAATAAGGATATAGGTTACAATAATTCATCACGGCGGTTTAGGCCATTGAGTTCAAGAGTTATGGCCTTATTTATCAAATGTGACTCCCTCGCCTTACGGACTGAGGGTAGGGGGCGTTGGTTCTAGGTTATAACATAGGACCAAAAGGTCCTACTCTGGAACCAAATTTGTTATGCTTTTCTCGTGGATCAAGATTTTTTTGCCGCATTTAATTTAAGTCACCAGTTATTTCTAACCCCCCACTCCAGAACAAAAACTGTATATTATCCGATGACATGTAATTTGAAAAACAAATTGTGGGGTATTTACCTACAAATTAAATGAAAGGGCATTTGTAAGCAAAGAGAGAGTTCTTCTGTGAGAAAGTTGCTGAAAAGTTAAAGAAAAGACTCTTTCATCAGTAATGCAACATCATCCTTGCATGGCTCGTTGCGTTTAAAATGACCAAAACCAGTCATAAATCAGATATACCCCCGGAAAATATTAAACTTACCAAGTTCGGTTATTTTATAGTGTCTTTACTGCCGTAGCTGGATACGATAAAACTCGTAACCAGTCCCCCTGTCTGTGTCACCCAAAATGGCGTCTCGTGAAAACTCGAATTTTCGGCATTATTGAGTCGTTCTCCTGTCAACACAATATGACTGCCCGCGAAAATTTTTATAACAAAAACTGCACCAATATAAGTACTTTCAAACAGTATAAACAAAATTTCCGAAGTCCATCTACTTCTAGAGATATTTCCCGGGAACTATAGCATAGTCCCTGGTTGAACAAGAGTAAGGAAAAAAGGAGCCATCTTTGAACATACATTTTCTAGGCAAAAACATAACGGGTCCCAATGGAATATATATTTTTTTATATCTCTAGATTCGTGTTAAGATATGGATTAAGTTTCACTGGCTACATAGTTTTTGGAATTTTTTAACCGATTTTTCAAATGTTGCTTTTTTCCAGTTTTCACAGCCATTAATGTCCGCTCAAAGTGAACACGTCCCAAAATAACAATTTTGAGTTTTGAAGAAAACGTATTACGTCATTCAATCAGGCATGTCAAACGCATTATTCTGACAAAGTTTCAAAAGTTGTGATTTTTGGCCCGATTTCCAACTTTGCTCGATCCTTACAGGCAGCGCCTCTTAAACATACTTTTTCTCATCACGTCTCAGGTAAACAGTACACAGACCTCGGACAGAATTTGTTCTTTTTTGCCCTATTTAAACCTATAATTCTGCAGTTTTTCTCAATTTTACATGAGAATTTGCACTCATTCAATATCCACGACGATCAAAGCTCGCGCTTCCTTTGCACAGCAAATTATAGCATTGAATTATAAAACGTTTTCTGTTAGAAAAATCTGGTCCTATGTGATATGCGGGGTAATGATTATGGGCTTTTAATGAAAACGATAAAAAAAATTCCCAAAATCACTTTTCGGCCAGCCGGACGGGTTCTCACTTTTGACAGACACCAAATTTCATGATAGAGAAATTGTTATGTGTTGGTTCAATAGTATTTCCCTTTATTCATTAAACTGTGTATGATTTTGTTATGTGTAATCTTTAAAAGCGAGTGATATTTACGCGCGGCGTTTTGAGTATTCCTACATGCGATGTTTATGTTCGACTGGAAACAACCGATGCAGCGATGAAAATTGCGAGAGGGACTACTTACAATCAATAAAATAAGTTTAATTCGGTGAAACATGTACAGAGACAATAATTTTCATTCACGAAGAGAAGTATTGAGAGTAAAGTGTCTCAGAAAATCATGAGTCAGGCAAGCATAAGCTTATTTATGTTTTAAGCCGGCTTCCCGGTGTTCGCTCTTTTTTCAAGATGAACTCGAGGCAAGAAAATCGCTCAGAGCTTTCTGTTTACAGCCAAAATCATAACTAAATAATCTTCGGAACCTTTTCTTTGAATTTGCGGGTCAAAAAATGTCTAAAGGCTTTTTAAACCTGATACTATTGTAGGTTAGATCATTGCTCGTGTTTTAACTTAAGCCGCATAAACCATACGCTCGACTTCAGGAAACCGAAAGAAAAACAAACATGAAAAACAATAATGGCTCAAGCTTACCAGTCGAGATACTGCTTCTGAAGGTCATCAAGTGTTCCAGAATCACTTGAGACTTTTCAACCTTCTTACGCCTCAAGTAAGGGCAAGTGAGTAAGCTCATTTTTGAAAACGATGCCATCCGAAATCGGATTTCCAATGACTTTGACAAGCGGTGCATTTGTCAACAAAAAGCGCAATAAACAAACCAGCCACGAATTACAGAACAATCTTGAAAGCAGCTGTATTTCATTTTGTACACCAAGTAGAAAAAGACAGTTTAAAACATCACAAGATGACACAAAACTCTCTCAGCTCCAGCTATCAGTAAGCAAGTTTCCGGACGCTGCAAAAATTTTCCGCAAAAACTCACCTGTCAAATTTTGACCAATCAGAACATAAAAATTGGACGTAGAGCGTGATCAACCCGTGACAGTGAGAAAAGTCAAAAGCGATTGCCTTCCCTGCATGTAAATGTAAAAGTCGGTTGAATTTTCGTGTCCGAGATCAGTTCGAAATCAACATGTTAAAAGTGCGGCTCTTGAAACACGACTTATTTCATATGCATTATAAAAAAATTGAACTTGAGCCTGCGATCATTTGAAAAGTAGCAACTTGTCAGCGAATACCTTCAAAATATTACTCGAACTCAGAGGCTCGATACCTGAGCCCGCGATACGGTTAGGCGATACTGGTCAGCAGAAACACTGTTTTGACAGCTGTCAATTAATCAAAACATGGATGTACAATATCAGGTTGCGGGCTCCCAAACTAGCTAGAAAGTGTGAGATCAAACATTGGTATGCCTGTGGTGCGGACGGACGGAAGGTCAGGTGGTCGGTGTACGGTCACGTGATTGCCGAATTTCCTAGGATGGATAGATTTTCTATAAAGCTATGGGGCTTCGAATTGAGCCTGTGATCAAATAAAATATCAGCGCAAAACTTTAAACACTACGTGACCTTAATAGATAGAAAAATGAGCCCGCCATCCACTCAGGTGATGATGGTCAGCATATACTCTAGTTTGACAGCTGTCAATTAACCTTCATTAGAATGGCGAATATTCAAATTAACAGACTACGAGTGTGAGTAGGACATTTCCGTCCGGCGTGTAGTGGAAAATGCCAGATCGTGTACCTGATCGAACCTGAGCCCTCGTTATTAGTTTTTTGATAGCAGTCTGCACATGTCCCATTTTGACAGCTGTCAATTGACCTTAATTTGGCCTGCCAATGTAACTTTAAACGACTGTCAGCCAACTGACAGCCTTGCCCGGCGTAGTTTCGTTTTTATGTTGAATTGGTAAGTGTGATATATTATGTCAGCTTATATATAGGGGCAAAACGACTGGTCTTTTATCTGAGCCCGCGAGACGGTCATGTGATAATTGTCAGCGGGTGTCTGATTTTGACAGCTGTCAATCTAATCGTACTCATACGGATGGCTTACATAACTAAGAGGCTAGTCAAGTTGTGTAAGATCTATTGTGACATTTGACATCGGCTTACATGAAGTGTGTTTACGGACGGGCGTACGCTACGTGATAACCAAATTTTCTGGGATGGATAGTTTACCAAATTTTCTTACCTATGGTGCTCCGCTTCGCGCGCGCGGGAGCTCCGCTAATAATAAATGCAGCCTTACATCTCAAAAATATACTCTTAGGAAAGTAGAAAACGAAATAAACAGCTCTTTTTTTTAGAAAAATTATTGATTTACAAGTAGTGTAGTGATCTATTCTTGCACTCCTCTTATACATGTACATGTGTTAAAATCCCCAATGAAAAACATCGCGACTGAGTACAAGACTGACTGCTTGTTGTTGGGACAAATCATTCGAATCTGAAAAGATAATACGGTAGAAATACTGCAATCCATAGTTTACGCTCCTTTGGCCTGTCCCTTACTGCGAACAGCAGTTACCACCTCCATGTATATAAGGCGCAAAGATTACTATAGATGTAAATTTGAATATATGAAGGTCAAGAAGTTTTAATTTGAATGAGTTTGTTACTTTTTTCAGTTCAATATCTGTCGTATATTTACCACTACGTAAAAGAATGGAGAAAGAATCCAGAGTGGTCATTATCCTGCTGCCTGGCCTTGCTACTGCCTCTTAGAAATTTTGAAGGAGAGATAGGTGGACTAGCTGGGGGGGACATACCGATGCAGCAACTGCAAACTGGCCGAATCGACAGCCCATCGAATGCTAATACGGGAAGGGACAATGCGGCAGTTGATATTTCTCTTGAAGATTATGATGCGGAACGAAAAGAAGAAGAAGAAAGAGAAGAAGAAGAAAAAGAAAAAGAAGAAGAAGAAGATGAAGAAGAAGACGAAGAAAAAGAAGACGAAGACGACGACACTGCAAACCAGATAACCGCTGGACAAGGTGTTGTTACACTGGTAGAAGTCATTATCCATCCCCCACCAAGTGGGATACAAGACACTAAACTCTAGGTAAATAAATGGTTTTCAGTTTAAGTTTAAGAACCGTTTAGGCGATGTGGGGTGTACTACTACTAGCGTGTTCGTTAAAATGAAAAGATAAGAAATTAACTGACATTATGTTGAGTAAAGTAGGGTGCAGTGATTATGCATCTATG